TCCGCTGAATTGTTTTAGCAAGGCCTGCCAAGACTTTGGATTAACACTCAGCCTGAAGAAAACACAAGTCATGGGCCAGGGCATGGACTCACCTCCCTCTATTAAGGAAAGGATTGTCACTTTTGAATTGGCTTTCTCAGCCACACTGGGCGCTGTTCCAAGACCTCTATTCACAGCATGTTACCATAGTCTCTCTAGACTGACGGATGCGTACAGAAGATGCTCCCAGAAGTCCTATGCTCTTGCTCTATTGTCTTCAACTGGCAAAGACAGTTCTGCAGTTCGGTATGACTTCAGGCAGCCTTTCCCAACATACGTACTGGCTCCCTCCATTCTTGACCACTAATCAGGCTGGTTGTTGTTGGGAGTTGTATTCCAAAAGATCTGGAGGGCACCATGTGGAAGAAGGTTGAAGTAAGGTTGCTGTGCTATCGCTATGTAATGATAACCATTGCTCTGAATAAATATTTGAAATCTAGATGCTATAATTGTTTTAATAGTTCCAGTCATTTGTTTATGTGCATTGAAATATGTTTTAATTACTGTATAATGCTTGGGGATAGTAACAGACATACATATGTAAACATTTTTGCAAATACTATGTACACCAGTAGCAGTCTATAGAAGATTAATGACATGATTAACATCCTTTACCTTTACCTAACATCCTTTGAAATGTGCTTTGTTGTTCTAGTAATAAATAACAGCAATTTCCATGTAATAATTGTATCTTTAGTTTTCTCCTTTAGTTCTTTTATAACATGTTGAATTTTCCATAATTTCATATTCTTGTTATTTATTTATTTCCTCCAGAAATTACTCTTACTTTCCAATATTCATTATAAGGAAATCTGCTGTTATATGACATAGCAATTCTTCACATCTCTTACTTCACACATTTACTAAATAAAATGTTAACAGTTATCCAATTCAAATAACTGGAATTGGAAGAGTTTTGGAGTATTGTCTGAACCCAAGGAGCATTCCGGTGTATTGAAGGTTGTCAGGGAGTGTGGTGATACTTAGGGTGCATTTCCCAAATTTACTGAAAATTCCCTGCAACCCAACCCCCCACTTGGGCCAGCCTCCTGATGACCAGAGAATATAACATTGCTTCTTTTCTTCATTGAAAAAATGCCATCGGACATTTTTCTCCCAACAATTTTACACTGAGCTTGGACAAAACAGTTCCTCAGTGGCAACAGAAAATGCATTTGTTTTTAGATATTCAGCCCAGCATGCTTTGTCTGTAAGAAGCAAAACTATATATGGCAAGTAGATGGCAATTAGGAATATTGTTCACCACTCTAGGGGTAATGTTGCAAAATGCCTGCCTTGTCTGTCTAGTATTCTGTGAATCCTGTTAACAATATATGACTCTGTTTGGGACAGATTTGGGTGGATGGGATCTGAAGGGCTAAGAGATACTTTTATCCCAGCTTTTCTGTTGATTGCTTAAGTAAAAAGTATATCTTAAATAGAAGTTTAAAAATCCATATTTTCCTCTTCTACAGCCAATGTAGAAATCATTGTACATTTTTAAGCTATCACATCCTGTACAATCCTGTACCTGTTTTTCTTACTGGAGAAAAGGTTCTTTAAAAAGCCAGAATGGAAAGTAAATAGATCCATTATCAATACACATCATGCATTCCTGCTAGAATATAAAATTATTGGGCTAAATTAAGTTTCAATCCCAACTAAAATAGAGATTTTCATTAGTATTAACTAACGTGTCCCATTCATTTCAGCATGCCTAATCGGGACAGTACCTGGCTGGATAGATTGGTGATTTGGGTTATCTGGCTGTGGAGCCAGAGGTTGGGAGTTTCATTCCCCACTGTGCCTCCTGGAGGAAAAGCCAGCCTGTGTAGCCTTGTGCAAGCTGCATAGTCCCAGGATGCCCCCCAAAATACGGGGATGGTAATCCACTTCTATATATTCTCCACTTGGCAAACCCTGGAAAGGGCCCCTATGAGTCAGAACTTACTTGATAGCATGCAATTGTTGCTATAATTGGGACTAAAATTGAATTTAGTGCTTTACCATTTACCATTAAATGGTAAATGTTCCTGCTTCTTTGATTCAGAGACAACCAGCTAAGTAGCACTTCCAAGTTTAATGTAGATAGGATAAATATGAGAGCAAGTGGTTTGGATAATGGAGATGTAGGAGAGAGGGGTGTTGTAGGTAATTGTTGTAGATATTGGAAGAAAAAAAGATTAACATTGGTGAACCCTGCTCTTGAAGGAAAAAACTTGGATAATAATGTTTTACATATTTGCATTTGAAGCCAGACATTTCAGTATTTGGTATTTTAATTGTGGATGTGTGTTTTATGAGATTAACACATTGGCAGTGAAAATAAAAATAGCTATAGACAATAGACTTCTTTCCTTATTCTGTTTGGAGTCACAGCCTATACTGAAAATAGTTTTTCACTTTCTGGAAAATCTGTTCACCTTTAAAAGTACAGGAAATAAAAATGATAAATCAGGCATGGGACAAGCTACTTGATAGTACAGATGCTAGAATAATGGAGGATGCACTAGACAATTTTGATCCTAATTTGTAAGACACAAAACATTTTCATAAACTAAAGGAACAGTAGAAAGACAACAGAGTCTTAAATTTGCAAATTCCTCACTTAGCATGACTAGAAGGGTTACCATCTGCTCCTGTGAGTTATTCATCTCCCTTACCTCACTCTGCATCCTTCTTCCTCATATTCTCTGAGCACAGCTATTAAAACTCTATGCCAGTCAAAAAAAATATAAGATTTCATTTCTGAAACCCAAATGGTAGGCACAGTGACAGGGAGGCCGTAATAGCTTTAATGAAATCTGTACAACGCTCAGGATTGTATGTACTACAGTCTTAAAGTGATTAGCCAGCATGACTTCCCTCTCCTTAGGGAAACCTGAAAATTGTGGTTTAGTGAGAACACTAGATAGCATCTTTAATGGAATTTTTCAGAAATTCAATAAAAAGTACAGATGCTAGAGTACCTGCAGAGGAGTCGTGATAAACCAGTTTAAACCCAGTGTTCCTTTTTACATGAACTTTTGTATAAATAGATAATTAAAAACATTCATGCTTGGCTTTTAGGGTGCAGGTGGATGGGTGTAGCTCACAGTCTCTTGCCATAATCTATAACCCCAATGTAATTTTTTATTTCTGTAGGTTTTTTTCACACTCTTCATCTCCCTCTCCTCCCCCTCTCACGCTCACTCGCACGCACACAGGCGCGCGTGCACACACACACACACACACACACACACACACACACACACACACACACACACACACACAAACAGGAGACATTTGCTGTCTGACACTAGATAGTGCTTCTCAGACAATGCAGTTAAGCAGAGGAGCAGAATTTGGGAGTTGGATAAAGCTGAATGCTGCTCCCATAGTCACAAGACTTACAGACCTGTTCTGTAATATATTTTGCCAATTGTATCTTATCCTTAGCTGGCTGGATATCTCAGTGAGATGGGCATCTGGCTGCAGAGCCAGACGTTGGGTCTCCCCTAGCAAAAGAACTGGTCTGTGTCACCTTGGGCAAAGTGCATTGTCCCAGAGTGCCCGCAGAAAGTAGCCATGCTAAACCGCTTCTGAGTAATGTGTACCTGAAAAGAGTTGCCAAAATTGAGAATCAACTTATACAATCAGTAGAGCTGTTGTGGCTCATTGGGTTGGAGTACCTGTTGGCATAAGCAGAGGCTAGAAGTGTGAATTCCCATTGCCCTCCCAGAAGGGCCATCCAGGATCACACAGGGCATGCAAGTGTGAATTCCCATTGCCCTCCCAGAAGAGGGGCCATCCAGGATCACACAGGGCATGTATAGGTGGCAGGGTTCCATGCCTTGCCACCTGTGAAATTTTGGGCAAGCTGCAGGGCCCCAGAGCCCTACCAGAAGGAGGGACTGAATGCTTTTAACCAGAAAATCCTGGAAGAGTTGCCATACATCAGACTCAAGATGACAGCAGATGATTATTAATTATTATACCAGCAATATAGGTTTATGGAAAAGAGGTTTACTGATGTGGTACATCAGAAAGAAGATAGGCCATCAGCTCAATTGTGTACGAAGTGACATTCTTCTTTTCCTGCGTTGCTTTGTTTTTCAGTACTGTTGCCTAATTAGTAGATTAAAGGTAAACAAACATTAAGTCATTAGATGGGAGAAATGCTTTTGCATACATTGAAAAGATTCATTAGGATGGCACTAACTTATGTAAATTTATTGTTCTGTCCTTTTATTGTAATGCGTGCAATAAAATCCAATAAAACAGTAGCTGCTTGTTCGTTTGTAAAAAGCAGACCAAACCCTCTTTTAAGGGCCAAAGCCCTGGCAGGACAACACAGTGCCATTTGTTGAAAACACAAGAGGTGTGGGGTCAGTGTGACTTCCCCTGGCAGGAAAGGAGTTGCTGCCATGGGTTGTGTACCCACCAGCTTGGTTCTCTTCAATGACTGGTCATATACCAGGACTTCTTCCTTTGGGAAGAGACAGTATTTCAGATGCCCCTCATTTTAACCCATTTAAGGCTTTACAGGTCAAAAGAATCACTTTAAATTAGCCTTGAAAACCAACTGGAATTTGTGTAAAATTTGTGTAATTTTGTGTAAAAATTTCCTTCATTTGGTGAGAAACAGATCTTCCAATGGTCTGAGATTTTTAATCCCTTTACCATTTCTGTCCACATCATTGTGCAATGCTTTGAATATTGAAGAATACTGAATTTTACATTGAGCAGTTTCAGTGATGAATAACAAAGGGCCAAATCTAGTCCTAACTGGAGTAGACATTATTTGAATGGGACATACATCACCATTGACTTCACATATATGTGTCTTTTCTGGTTAGAAGTTAAAAAAAAAGCATTTTGTCCAATACATTTTTAAAACATATGGACTACATCCTCTTGTTGCTGAGATCCCTTATTGTTATCTGACAAATATTACTTTTTCTGCCCTATAATCTTGTCAGGCCACCAGTAGAAGACAGTCAAACCCTTTTAACCCCTGTGGTGAGCTGTGGACCTCCAGGAGCACTGCTGACTCGGCCTGTCATTCTAACGATGCACCATTGTGCAGAACCAAACATGGAAGACTGGAAGATCCAGTTGAAGAACCAAACAGTCCAGGGACAATGGGAGGTGAGATTGTGGGCCTTCGCCATAGACTGCAAATGTCATGTGGAAGGGAGTCCATTACAATGTCTTTTTCAGGATTTGGGTACCTACGGCCAGTTGAGACCAGTTATCTGGCTATTCCAAACAATGTGGATTATGCATTATATTCAGTATAAAGGTGTGGAAATCTACCTTGTGGCCCCTGTTTTGTTTGGCCCTCAAAAGGGATCACACCCTTTTTCCTTCACGCTGCCACCAGGTATTCTTCTAATACCAATTATGTTTACACGTGTGCTGCCAAAACTAAGGGTTATTGAACTTAGGAACCAGAGGTTTAATTAACAGTCTTTTATTGTCAAGTAAATCATAAAGGTAAATCACATAGGAACTGTATCAGGTATTAAAATGTATTGGATCATGTAGACCACTGGTTCTTAACCTTGGGTTACTCAGGAGTTTTGGACTGCAACTCCCAGAAGCCTTCACCACCAACTGTGCTGGCTGGGGTTTCTGGGAGTTGCAGTTCAAAAACATCCGAGTAACAAAGGTTAAGAACCACTGATGCAGGCAATCACTTTTATTCCAAACTGCTTTATACTTTCGATCAATGTCTCTCTTAAGTGCTTATAATTTCATTCCTGCTTGTTCAGTATTGTTTAACCTTCTCAATTCCCTCTTCTAACACTCTCAGCTCAATTCACCAACCCTCTCCTTCTCTCTCCTAAACCCTAACTGCCATTCCACATCTCCAACTGTCCCTCTAACTCCGCCCCTCCTGCCCTATCCTTGACTCCTCCTCCTTGAGCTTCTGTGATGGACAGGCAGGAATGATCTCACCTTTTGGCATTTCGCTACAAAAGGCCTCTTCATTTTCTTGAGAAGAAAACTCAAGCGTAACTCAAAACCAGGAAACCAAAGAAAGAATGCACATTGAGCATAAAATAGCTTTTAAAACAGAATTATTTCTATTTGATATCTAATACATAAAACATAACAGTGCAAATGGACTTCGAGGAGGTAAAATAGTGTATAACAGCATGCTAGAGATTGCCAGTACGGTCTTTAGAGAGGGGCATTGAATGGGCATTTAGTTCTCTCTTGAGTAGAGAAATGGCTATAGCTGCCTAGCGGTCAACCTAAGTCATTCATACCATTTGGCATAGACTTCATAGTTGAAAAGTGACCTGTAGAAATCATTAGGTATGAAGAGATCATTGAGAAACGTTGAGAGCTTCTTTCCAGTTTTATGACAGCATTATGTATAGAAAGGGATAATATGGAACAATTTCAGTCGCTTAGCAACTTTGGCTAAGTTTTGACTTGCATAAGGTGTAAGTGAGGGTGAAAAGGAAATGGTATATTTTATTAAGAGTCGAAAAGTCTGATTTGCACTCTGGGGGTGAAGGTGTTAAGGGAGTAGAGGCACAGCTGTAGGCAGCAGTGTTTTCGAACAAGTGTTGGGACTGTGTTCAACTCCATTATGTGCCTGCCCCTTGCCATTTTATAGGTTGGCATGGCTGGAAATATCTCCTTTTCTGTCTGTGGTAATTTAGTAGGTGTCCAGGATTGTTCAACCCTGACATCAAACTGTCTAAAAAAGACAAGCAGAAATTCCAGCCAGTATGATTTTCAAGACAAAAAGAACCCCCGCAATGGTTCCTGTGACGTACAACCCGTGTCCCTCAATCCAGGTCCACGCTGGTGACGTTCCTTTTTTCTCTCTCGCCTGGTTCCTGTGACGTACAACCCGTGTCCCTGTATGTTTCCCTCAACCCAGGTCCATGCTGGTGACATTCCTTCTTTCTCTCTCGCTGCCACCAGTGGATTTCTCTTATCCACTCAGTAAAGAACTTTACTCTCACACTTGCTGCCAATAACAGAATTAGTTTTATTAAAGGGTATGAAAGAGTAACTCAGAATCACCTATGGTCTTTGTTCATTTTCATTAGATCACAATCACAGAAATATCATATTTTATGTTCAACAGTAGATCACTTCTTGCTTACTTATTTTCAATTCAACCAGTGTCTATTTATTAATAATTCTCTCCCTATCTCTGACTATCTCTCTCTCTCAGCAAACCTCACTCCTTCTTCTCTCTAAGTGACTAACTGACAAAACTTCTGCCTCTCCTGTCCTCTCATTTCCTGCACATGAGATTTCGCTGTGATTGACAGGAGTGACTTGGGCATCCGCCACAGTTCCCAATAGAGATGGGCTTGAACTGTTGGTTCAGCAGTTCATGTCAGTTTGTTTAGCAGCCGAACAGGTGTTTTACACTTCAAAGCCCCACCTTCTCCAGCGGGCACCTACTTGGAGGCAACAGCCTGCCTTCCCTCTCCCACCTCATCCAGGCGCTGCCTCTGAGTGGGTGCCCACTGGAGAAGGTGGGGCTTCGAAGTGTAAAACACCTGTTTGGCTGCTAAACAAACTGACATGACCGGCTGAACCAACAGTTCAAGCTCATCTCTATTGGGAACCACGGCTCTAGTCATTAATTGTCAGCATGACCCATATTCCACAATTGGCTAAGTCCAAACTGTTATTTACAGTACACAAAGAGTGAATTGACAATGTTGCATTTCACAGAAACTCATTTTTAACATTCCAATATGTTGATCTGTTCATATGCATCCAAATCTTATTTAGTTTGCAAAAGTCTACCAAACTTTTTTGTTCTCACAAAGTAAGGCTTGCTGCCTGGATGTTCATTCTCTTTCCACTCCCTCACTCATTTTGGAACAGATCTTCTGTGCCTGTCTTTCCCTCTACAGAACAGATGTTTGCATTGCTGGAGGCAAATCAGTCTTGCAAGTGCCAACACAAATGTTTCATGGCTTGGCCAGCAGGGGTTGGTGGAATCAGCATTGCTGACACCTTTCTTCCTCACCCTTAGGAAAGATGGTGCCACCTTTGAAAATGTGCAGCATCACCTTGCCTTTAACTCGAAGTCTTGAATCTGTTCCCAAGCTTGGAAGTCAATGAATCCAGCATTTAATTTGTATCATCAGCATTGCCAGCTTTATCATTTGAAAGCAACAGAAAGATAGAGTACATGAATTAATTAGAGCTTTGTGCTTTATGAAGATGCATTTACAATAAGGAATTAAAGATCCTTGTTCTTATTTTCCCCAGCAAGTCACCTTTTGTAACCCAACAGTGTTGAACAGGGGAGAAAAAAGCACGTAGCAGACTTTCTAGTAAGGAAGAAATAGTAACTCGTAAGGAAGAAGATTCAGAATACCTCGCAAATATTGGGTTTATATTTTATGTGCTGCTGATTTTTTTAAAAGATCATAGGGATTTTATGGTGTTGAACTCTCTATCTCTCATATTCACTCAACATATTCTTCTCTTTCTGCACAAATGGAAACTGCCATGCAGAAACAGATGGCTGTGAGAAAATACAGTACAAACTTTTCCTTAGTATAGTACAGTACTTCTGGTTTGCATATATAGCAAGGTCAGTTTGTGCCATAGAAGTCAAAAGGAAGTTTCTGCATGCAATAAGAATGGATTTGATTTGTGCTCTTGATCTGCAGGTTCTTCCTTAAGAATGTGTGAATAGAGTAGATAATACTGCTTTCATGAGATGCTTCACTGAGAAGCTACCTTTGCGCTTTTCTCATTATGTTATCATGTGTCAACTGGCTAGAGTTTTGTAGTAAGAGACTCAGTACAGATGTGGTGTTAAAATAAATGTGGGTAAAATAAATGTCAGCATTGTTATTGGGCAAGCAGTGCTTGAATCCCAATGTTAACTGGCTGGATTCTATAAGAGTTGTTCATATATTTTTAATTTCCACCATCCCCTTTTTCAGGATGTGGTAGCAGTGGGAGAAGAGAACTTCACCACCCCATGCTACATCCATCTGGATCCAGAAGCCTGCCATATCCTGACAGAAACTCTCAGCACCTATGCCTTGGTTGGGCAATCAATTACCAAAGCAGCTGCAAAGCGTCTCAAGCTGGCTATTTTTGGGCCACTGATCTGCTCATCTTTGGAATACAACATTCGTGTGTACTGTCTAGATGACACCCAAGATGCCCTTAAGGTAATACAGCCTTACTCATTTAGAATTTCACTTCCTTTCAGGATAATTTCAGTTTGTAATTAACTGTTTATTAGGCTCTTGATTAAAGGCAGTGTGCATCTTTTGCAGACGTTGAGTTTGACTGGCACAGTGTTTGACAAACTACCATGGCTGAGGATAACAGTAAGGCTAGAAACTTAAAATGCCACTTGAATAATAATTTTATTTGCCTAAGAGGCTAATTCCTCTACTAGCGTTCACTCTTCCTTCCTTCCGTCCTTCCGTCCTTCCTTCCTTCCTTCCTTCCTTGTATCATAACCTGGATTCTGAGATTTTTGCATTATTAAATGGCCATAAGGTTCACAAAAAAGCTTCATTGGTGATTTATGTATTTTTAATGCTAAGTGCCCATTCCCCAGTGATGCAAAACATATAAATGCCTCTTTGTAAATAGTTGATAATGATAAAAGAAGCTCTGGGGTTGTTAATCAAACGCCTGCTGCTATATTGCTTTGCTAGATGACTTTGTCTGCAGTTTTTTGTGCTGAGAATTTGCAATGGAAATGAAAGACGGCTGTTGCTTTCTCTGACTGTACACATGGTTCTGGAATGAACCTTTAAATATTGCATAGACCTTACACCAGATATGTAACTATGGTGCACAGTTATGATTTGACAATAGGCATATTCTCTACCACATATATAATTTTTATTAAAACGGACTGGTAAAGACAGGTGTTGCTCATAGCCAATAAATTACTTCAGAAACATCTGTGATAGATTAAATAGAAGACAGGATTCATGAATTCACATGAGTTTATAAGTACACCTCCGTAACAGGTGTCATCCATGGTACAATGAAGCTTTAATGCCTATTATTAAGTTTTTGGCTCTATTGCCAGTATTTGATTTATTATTTGCAGGTCATCTATAGAAAGGATTGCTCTTAAGAACAGTATCTAATGAATCCCTAAACGGTTCCTAGAATATGCTTGTGTTCCATAGTGCATTGCTAGCAAATATATTTTGCTTCTGAATGGTGCTTGGCGCAGTGTCTCCCAGAACATTATATCATATTGTCACAAGTATTAGGGGACTCGTTTCTGCAGTTATCAAAAACAGAGCTGGGAAATGTTGGATGGAGTAGTCCGAACACAAGTTATAAACGTTTTTGAAGAAAAGTAAAACTGGAATAGAAGGGACACTTTTATTCCTGTATCCAAGTCCGAACAATTTTGCAGGTTTTCATAGTCTGTCAAAAACCTGCTATACCTATTCTGAGCAGAGGCAACTGCAAGATGAGAGCTAATCAGTTTTGTGCAATGTTTTTGTCCCTAAGTCTTTTAAACTCTCTGAAAAACCATTGTCTGCCTACAGCTAGAGGATGCAAGCCAGCAAAGCTTTTGTACTCTGCATGAGGTTTATTTGGGGCAAAGTCTGACAGCTTCTGCTAGAAAATTACTGCATTTTATTCATCAGAATATTATTACTTGCATTCCAAACTCATTAAAAGGGGATTAAGTTCTAAGCAGTGTCAAGGTCTGAGTCTCCCAAGGATAAATTATCTTTTCCTATACGCCTATCTTGGTCCTCATAATCTGTGGGTGTCTTCTCATATTCCTCAGAATTTGCATACACAAACAAACATCTGAGAATTAGGAACTGAGGCATCTAACCTGCTGACTTTTGCAGAAACTTGTGAAGTTCCTTCCAGGATCGTGGTTAGGAATTCTGATACTTCCTTTGTATGAACAGTTGCAATACAGAGTCACTGCAAAGAGTCACTTGGTACATAGAGTATATGTTTATCTTTAGAATTTCTCTCTCTCTATATATATATATGAGAAGGAGAGAGATTACTTTAAAAAGTTTGCCTACATGTTTTTCCTCTAATTGTATATTACATATAGTATACTAGACATATATGCTGTTACTATATATACATAGAGACAGAAACAAAGAGAGCTTACTTAACATTTCTTTAACCTGGGTTTTCACAAGGGGAACACATCCATCAGGTGTTTGGTAAGAGCAAGAGTCATGGAATATCTGGCAAACTGCAGTGTAAGCCTTTTGTACAGCTGGGGCACCCACATGCATTGAGATTGTGCCCATGAAGCAGCTTACTGCACAGGTGATTTTAGTAAAAGCAGCAGATGCAGAAATTAGGGAAAGGTGCCTTAAGGGATGCCAACTGTAGAGCGAGTTCTCAGTACATGTCCTCTTTTAGATAGTGCCACCAGTACTAATTCTCCTACTTACCATTCTGTTATTTGGCCTCACAGGCAAACAGCAGGGGACCAGCAAAGCTGTTGTGCGGCTTCCAGACTTCTCTAACACAGAGAATCGGCCCATGGAATAATTCAAATAGGGGAAAGAAATTTTCCATCCAGAAGTGCCTTCAAACTGATAACCCTTGTTCTCTGTGCATATTAAAACAGATTAAAAATATGCCTGACTTCCGGAAATGTTTGTCCTTCCATTGGGGAACCCCAGAAGAAGGAAATGGAAGGGTTGTTTGCTGTGGTATCATGCAGAAGTTGGGAGACGCTGCCTTTGGGGACTGTGCAGCTCCCACAATTCCCCAGAAAAGGGGTGTCTCCAAACTATGGTGTTGTGGAACTCACAGAGTCAGGACACCAGGATCTTTTGGTGAGAAGCACTAGGACATCATCTGCCACTCTACTCTCAGTTTCCTCTTTTCCCTTTGAGCCTAGCTGAGTTGCGAACCTCACAGTACCTGAAGAGGGGAAATTAATTCTCCAACAACTGTCTCCTGCTGCGCGCTATCCCTGTTGTAATGTAACAGGTAACGTGTGCCAACTAAAGATCAGAATAGCCAGTACTGATTTATTCACGTGCATCGAGCTGCCTGAATTTTGAGACTTCCTCTGGGGCATGGTTATGGGGATTGCTTTGCTGAACTGCTGCATGTGAGAATTTAATACAACATAGGGCTGTACAATATCTAAGGATCTGGGGGCATTTTTGCCCTCTTCTGGATCTTCACAGCCTGTAGTCTTTCTGACCCACCAACACCCAGCTGCCTCCTAGTGCCCCAGAGTGGTCCCTTCCAAGAACAGACGATGCTTCCAGAAACTTTTGCAAGGTGTAATTTGACCTCTAGAATGTAATTACCCAAAGGTCAGAAAAGGCCTTTTTTGGAAAGAAGAAATGAATAGCTGATAGGAAAAAAAAAAACAACCATATGATCATGACTCCAGAAGAATGGAATGGTAAACCACTTCTGAGGACTTGATGCCTAGAAAACTCTGAATAAGTCTCTATAAGTCAGAATCAACTTGGCAGCACTGAATTATTATTATTGAAATATGAATGTCAAGGCATATTCTGATATATCTAAATTGTCATGAACTGTGTTATAGCATTAAAAAAGAAATGAAAAAAATTAGTGGATAGATTTAATGCCAATCCGCATATTAGTCCAACAGATATGGATTAGGCAAATTCATATAGAATATACAGCAGGATTAGATTCCTGAAAATGAAAAAAATCCATGATGAAAGTTCCAAGTTCTATGAATGTGCATTAATTGCTGAGTGTCATTAGGCAAGTGAATTACTTCTCAACCTTACTCCAGCTCTATCTGCAATATGGGAATAAGACTATACGTAATCACTAGGAATGTATATTTTTGCTTACTGCATCCTGATAGGTGTAGATGAGGAGCCTGGAATGGGAGTGTTTTGTTCTATCTAAAAAAGAAGAGATCAAGAACAAGGGTTTTCCCCCTGCAAGTTAAGCAGAATTGCATATAACACAACTCAGCCTGAGTGACCATGTTCCTGCTTTGTTGCCTGGACTTTGAACTGCTGGAAAGCTCAGTGGTTTAAGTTTTTGGCTGTGGAGCCAGAGGTTGAGGATTCAATTCTGCACTATAAGTCTTTGGCTGTGGAGCCAGAGGTTGAAGATTCAATTCTGCACTGTGCCTCCCTGGCAGGGGCTGGACTCGATGGTCCACAGGGTCCCTTCCAGCTCTGCAGTTTTAAAATGATTATTAAGAATGAATGCACTGGGGAGGGTGTTTGTATCACTGCAGATGTTACCTTGATGGTAACAAACGGTACTCCTTGCTTTTCTTCCACCTGGTGGTGAAGAATCTTGTTGGGCTGAATTTCTCAAGACAAGACATCCTAAACAGCTAAGAGCAAATATTTCCTTATATTCCAAATTATTACAGATCAAAACATGGTTCTTACCATTGCTGTGATAATATGTGTGAATTTATTTTGATGCTGTAAAATAAGTACAAGTCATATTATAATGAGCAGGTTCATAAATATGTATATACAAGTGAAATGCAGTGATAATGTTTATCAGTACAATCTGTGTTTGTATACTAATGTAAGGAAATATAACAACTTTTAGTTTAGGCAACCTAGGGTGATAATTGGACATAGTTAACATTGATAGTTATTCACTCATTAACATTAATAGTTACTCACTCATTTCACACGCTAGCAAGATTATGCTCAGAATCCTACAAGGTAGGCTTCAGCAGTATGTGGACCGAGAACTCCCAGAAGTATAAGCTGGATTTCGAAGGAGCAGAGGAACTAGAGACCAAATTGCTAACATGCACTGGATTATGGAGAAAGCCAGAGAGTTCCAGATAAACATCTACTTCTGCTTCATTGACTATGCAAAAGCCTTTGACTGTGTGGACCACAACAAACTGTGGCAAGTTCTTAAAGAAATGGGAGTGCCAACCACCTTATCTATCTCCTAAGAAGGGACAGGAAGCAACAGTTAGAATTGGATATGGAACAACTGATTAGTTCAAAACTGGAAAAGGAGTACGACGAGGCTGTATATTGTCTCCTTGCTTATTTAACTTATATGCAGAATACATCATGCGAAAGGCCGGACTGGAGGAATCCCAAATCGGAATTAAGATTGCCGGAAGAAATATCAACAACCTCAGATATGCAGATGCTACCACTCTGATGGCAGAAGATGAGGAGGAATTAAAGAACCTCTTAATGAGGGTGAAGGGATGTGGTGGTGCTGCGGGTTAGACCGCAGAAGCCTCTGTGCTGCAAGGTCAGAAGACCAAGCAGTTGTAAGAATGAATCCACGCGACGGAGTGAGCTCCCGTGGCTTGTCCCAGCTTGTGCCAACCTAGCAGTCCGAAAGCATATAAAAATGTGAGTAGATAAATAGGTACCACCATGGTGG